CGTTGTACGTCATTGGCCTCTTTATCAGTTAGACATTAAGAATGCTTTTCTCCACGGTGATCTTGAGGAAGATGTTTATATGGAGCAACCACCTGGTTTTGTTGCTCAGGGGGAGTTTAATGGTTGTGTGTGCAGATTGCGCAAGTCACTATATGGTTTGAAACAGTCCCCTCGAGCTTGGTTTGGTAAGTTCAGCACAATTATTCAGGAGTTCGGCATGACTCGTAGTGAGGCTGATCACTCTGTGTTTTATCGGCATTCTGCTCCTAATCTGTGTATTTATCTAGTGGTTTATGTTGATGATATTGTTATTACTGGTAATGATCAGGATGGTATTACTAATCTGAAGCAACATCTCTTTCAGCACTTCCAGACTAAGGATCTGGGCAGATTGAAGTATTTTCTATGTATTGAGGTCGCTCAGTCTAGCTCGGGTATTGTTATTTCACAGCGGAAGTATGCCTTAGACATTCTTGATGAAACTGGAATGATGGGTTGCAGACCTATTGACTCTCCTATGGATCTGAATGCTAAGCTTCTGCCCGGACAGGAGGAGCCTCTTAGAGACCCTACGAGATATAGGAGGTTGGTTGGCAAATTGAATTACCTCACAGTGACTAGACCTGACATTCTTTTTCCGGTGAGTGTTGTAAGTCAGTTTATGGATTCTCTTTGTGATAGTCACTAGGATGCAGTTGTTCGCATTTTTCGGTATATAAAGTCAGCGCCAGGCAAAGGATTACTATTCGAGTATCGAGGCCACGAGCAGATTGTTGGGTACACAGATGCTGATTAGGCAGGATCACCTTTTGATAGACGTTCTACGTCTGGATATTGTGTTCTAGTAGGAGGTAATTTGGTCTCGTGGAAGAGCAAGAAACAGAATGTAGTTGCTCGATCTAGCGCCGAAGCCGAATATCGGGCCATGGCTATGGCGACGTGTGAGTTAGTTTGGGTCAAGCAGTTGCTCAAGGAGTTAAAGTTCGGAGAAATCAGCAAGATGGAACTAGTGTGTGATAACCAAGCTGCTCTTCATATTGTGTCAAATCCAGTCTTCCATGAGAGGACTAAACACATTGAGATCGACTGTCACTTTGTCAGAGAAAAAATACTTTCAGGAGATATTGTTACAAAGTTTGTAAAGTCGAATGATCAACTAGCAGATATTTTTACTAAGTCTCTTACTGGTTCTCGTATTAGCTACATGTGTAACAAGCTCGGTACATATGATGTGTATGCACCGGCTTGAGGGGGAGTGTTAGTATGTATAATGTAGTCTTGCCCCACATTGGAAGAGGAGTAATATCTCCTTGTAGTGTATAGCTATAAATAGGGACCTCTTGTATTGTATTTATCACCCAATATCAATAACATATTTTCTCCCGTGCTTTCTCACATATATCATTCTTTTTGGACAGACTAGAAAGTGCATCACATAAATTGTGACAAAGGAAGTAGCTAATTTCTTAACTACAACTTATATACTTCCTCCGTCCCAATATATGTGGCACTGTTTGACCGTACATGGAGTTTAAGAAAGAATGAATCACTTCTGAAATTATTGGTCTAAAAAAAGTCAGATTTATTTGTGTAGCTATACATCATCTTAACTAAAATGTGAAATTTTAAGTAATTTTTTTTTTTTGTTGATAATGGTAACAAATTTTATTATGAGTAAAATATTTACATGAGATTGTGTGAGCCACAATCAGAACCCAAAAGAACTGACCGCCTAGCCTATTCGATTACATTTCTTCTAGCAAGTCCAGTAATGAATGTACATCCTCCCTATAGCTTTGCACCAAAAATGAAATAACAAACAACAGTTGAGCTTAATTTTCTGATAAAAGCTTGGCCTATCTTCAAAAATTCTGGCATTCCTTTCCTTCCATATGACTTAAATTATTTTTAAGTATAAAAAGGTATCAGCCCTTTAGACAAAGAGGAAACTGCATCACATATATTGGGACAGAGAATGAGTAACATTTTCAACTCTTCTCTTAAAAGCTACAGTACTAAGTTTGGTCAAACTAAGACAATAAAAATGGAATTTGAGTAAATAAGATACAGAAAGCACATCAAACCTCTGCGTTGCTTAGAATCAGGAGATGGTTTAGGAGTTGAAAACCATTGAGTATCCAATTTCTCGATCCCTTTAATCTCAAAATTAAGTTTTTCAATAAGCAAAGAGCACGAAGTTGTCGGGTTCTTGATTTCAACGGTAATGGTTACCGGATCACCCGGTCTATACACTTCTCTATCCGGCTCCAGCTTCAACTGTGGTTGTGGTAAATCCGTCGTTGCATTGGATCTTCTGACACTGCCACTGCCACTGCCGATGCCGCCGCCGATGCCGGTGGTGATGTTAAAGAATGAGAAACCACGGGAAGGTGGTTTATTAGGGGCTGACATTTGGTGAATTAATAGTGGAATTTGTTGAAAAGATCAAAAGAGTTGAAAGATAAGAAATGGGAAAAGGATTTTATTTCTTGAATTAGGATATGAAAATGGAGAATCTATGGAAGTTCAGTGAAGGAGAGTGAGAATGTGAGATCTTTGACACCCTGTTTCATTTTTTTCTGATGCCAAATTGTTTTGTATATTTTTTTATTTTTTGCATTTGAGTGTGATCTGTCGGGCAGGTTGGTTATGACCTCTTTTGAAACTTACGTTACCCATCGTTTACAATATATTTGTATTGTATTGTATTCTTTCGTTGTATAGATATAAGGTTTGACTATATTATATTATTTACTGTTGTTAAATATTACTTTTGCTAATTGATTTATTTGTACCGTACTATAACCGATAATAAATGATAACAACAACGAAAAACTCATTGTAATCTCATAGGTGGATCTTAGAAGAATAGTGTGTACGCAAACCTTACCATTACCTTATAAAGATAGAGAGACTGTTTTCAATAGGCTTTAGGCTCAAGGAACAATGAAAATAAAGCAACCAAATAACAAACAATAGTAATAACATTGTAATATAGAATCAGACGCGAATGAAATTTAATAATAAAGAACCATGAATAAGAAAATACAAGAATATTCCTAGTACTACTAGAAAAGCCCGGGAGAAATACAATGCTACCTGTCAACCTTCAACCTTAATGGGTGATACGCAAGCCTGTAAGCCACCTCTCTCACTCTCTCAAGAATCTCAAAAGGGCCGATATACCTAGGGCTCAACTTGCCCTTCTTTCCGAACCTCATCACATCCTTCATGGGTGATACCCGAAGCAACACTCTCTATCCGACCATGAATGCAACATCACGAACTCTACGGTCGGCATAACTATTCTGCCTGGACTGAGCTGTGCGAAGTCGATCCTGAATAATCTTGACCTTATCCAAGGCATCCTGTACTAAATCTGTACCCAACAACCGAGCCTCCCCGGCTCGAATCATCCAACCGGCGATCGGCACCGCCTACCGTATAATGTCTCATAGGGAGCCATCTGAATGCTCGACTGGTAGCTGTTATTATAGGCAAACTCCGCAAGCGGCAAGAACTGATCCCAAGAACCTCTGAAGTCTATAACACAAGCGCGGAGCATGTCCTCCAATATCTGAATGGTGTGCTCGGACTGTCCGTCCGTCTGAGGATGAAATGTTGTGCTCAGCTCAACCCGCGTGCCCAACTCACGTTGTACTGCTCTCCAAAAGTGCAAGGTGAACTGCGTACCTCGATCAGAAATGATAGACACGGGCACACCGTGAGGACGAACGATCTCGCGAATGTAAATCTCTACCAACCACTCTGTAGAATAGGTAACTGCCACGGGAATGAAGTGCGTTGACTTGGTCAGCCTGTCCACAATGACCCAAACTGCATCGAACTTCCTCTGAGTCTGTGGGAGTCCAACAACGAAATCCATAGTGATACGCTCCCACTTCCACTCAGGAATCTCTAACTTTTGAAGCAAACCATCAGGTCTCTGATGCTCACACTTTACCTGCTGACAATTTAGACACCGAGCTACATATGCAACTATATCCTTCTTCATCCTCCTCCACCAATAATGTTGCCACAAATCTTGATACATTTTGGTGGTGCCTGGATGGATAGAATACCGGGAACCGTAGGCTTCTTCAAGAATTAATTCACGAAGCCCATCCATATTAGGCACTCAAACACGACCCTGCATCCTCAAAACTCCAACAACTCATACAGTAACCTGTTTGGCATCACCGTGCCGCACAGTGTCCCTAAGGACAAGCAAATGAGGGTCATCATATTGCCGCTCCCTGATGCTCTCAAACAAGGAAGACCGAGCGACTGTACAAGCTAGAACACGACTAGGCTCGGAAACATCCAATCTCACGAACTGATTGGCCAAGGTCTGAACATCTGACGCAAGCGGTCTCTCACCGACTGGAATATACGCAAGGCTACCTATACTCGCTGCCTTTCTACTCAAAGCGTCGGCCACCACATTGGCCTTCCCGAGATGATACAAAATGGTGATATCATAGTTTTTCAATAGATCCAACCACCTCATCTACCTCAAATTGAGATCCTTTTGCTTGAACAAATACTGTAGGCTCCGATAATCCGTGAAAACCTCCCACGACAAACCGTAAAGATAGTGCCTCCAAATCTTCAGCGCATGAACAATGGCTGCTAACTCTAAGTCATGTATATGGTAATTCTTCTTATGAATCTTCAACTGCCGCGACGCACATGCAATCACCCTATCATCCTACATCAATACTGCACCGAGCCCAACACGGGATGCATCACAATATACCGTATAAGATCTTGAACCCGTGGGCAACACTAACACTGGCGCCGTAGTCAAGGCAATCTTGAGCTTATGAAAGCTCACCTCACACTCGTCTGACCATCTGAATGGGGCACTCTTCTGGGTCAACCTGGTCAACGGGGCTGCTATAGATGAAAACCCATCCACAAACCGACAGTAATAACCTGCCAATCCCAAGAAACTCCGGATCTCCGTGGATGAAGTGGGCCTAGGCCAGTTCTGAACTGCCTCAATCTTCTTAGGATCCACCTGAATGCCCTCTGCCGATACAACGTGCCCCAAGAAGGAGACTAAGTCCAACCAAAACTCGCATTTCAAAAATTTAGCATATAACTGGTTGTCTCTCAGAGTCTGAAGTACAATCCGAAGATGTTGCTCGTGCTCCTCTCGACTGCGGGAGTAGATCAATATATCATCAATAAACACAATCACAAAGGAATCCAGATAGGGCTTGAACACCCGGTTCATCAAATCCATAAATGTTGCTGGGGCATTTGTCAACCCAAATGACATCACTAGAAACTCATAATGCCCGTACCGAGTCCGGAAACTTGTCTTAGGGACATCGGATGACCTAATCCTTAACTGATGGTAGCCAGACCTCAAATCGATCTTTGAAAATACTTTGGCACCCTGAATCTGGTCAAATAAGTCATCAATCCTCGGCAATGGATACTTGTTCTTGATAGTGACTCTGTTCAATTGCCGGTAATCTATGCACATTCTCGACGATCCATCTTTCTACTTCACAAACAACACGGGCGCACCCCAGGGCGAGACACTTGGTCTAATGAAGCCCTTATCAAGCAAAACTTGCAATTGCTCCTTCTACTCTAGGGGGCCATACGGTATGGTGGAATAGAAATGGGCTGAGTGCCTAGAGCCAAATCAATACAAAAGTCAATAACCCTGTCGGGTGGCATCCCCGGTAGGTCTGCATGAAATACCTCTGGAAACTCACGGACAATTGGTACTGAATCCATGGAAGGAACCTCTGCACTAGAATCGCGGACATAAGCCAAATAAGCTAGACACCCCTTCTCGACCATACGCCGAGCCTTCATATAAGAGATAACCCTACTGGTAGAATGGCCAATAGTATCTCTCCACTCCAATCGAGGCAACCCCAACAAGGCTAAGGTCACCGTCTTGGCGTAACAATCCAATATAGCATGATAAGGTGACAACCAATCCATACCCAAGATAACATCAAAGTCTACCATATCGAGAAGTAGAAGATCTACACTAGTCTCAAGACTCCCAATAGTAACCACACACGAACGATAAACATGATCTACAACAATAGCATCTCCCACAGGTGTGGACACATACACAGGAACACTCAAAGAATCACGAGGCATAACCAAATATGAAGCAAAATAGGATGATACGTAGGAATAAGTAGAACCCAGATCAAATAGAACTGAAGCATCTCTACTGCAAACTGAAACAGTACCTGTGATAAAAGCGTCAGATGACTCAGCCTCAGGCCTGGTTGGAAAAGCATAGCATCGGGGCTGGGGCCCACCACGCTGAACTACATCTCTAGGACGGGCCCTAGATGGCTGGCCTCCACCTCTAGCGGTCTGACCTCCACCTCTAATGGCCTGACCTCCATCTCTAGCTGTCTGACCCCTATATCTAGCTAGCTGAGCGGGTGGTGAAGCACTCGATGTCGGGACCATGGCACGAGAACCCTGATGTTGTGAGTTGCTCGATGCACGAGGGCAAAATCTAGCCATGTGCCTCGGATCACCACAAGTATAACATGACCTCGGCTGTTATGACTGCTGACCCTCTCGACCTGAGTAACCACCCTGAAAACTCTGGAGCAGAGGTGCACTAATAAGAGCTGGTGGTGCACTGTAGGCTAGTTGGTCAGAATAAGGCATATGAGGGCCACGACTACCTGAAGCACCGTGGGATACCTGGAGTGCTAAATGAAACGGCCTGGGAGGATGGCCTCTACTAAAAGAACCTCTGCCTCCAGACGAAGCACCGCTAAACCCATCGGAATGACGAGGATCTTGTCAGATCCTTGACCTCCCCCCTGTGCAAGAACCATCTCGGCTCGCCTGGCAACAACGACAGCCGTCTGAAAAGAAATCTCACTCCCGATCTCCTTGGCCATCTGTAACTTGATAGGCTGAGC